CAAGGATCATTTGCATTATATATATCGGTATGGGACGGTGACATATCAGGGATGGATTAGATAAAAAAAAAATAATAATAAAAAAAAACTAAGTCCTACCCCTTCATACATAAGGAATGGATTAACTAAAACAGTTAAATCCTACATGGATGCATGCCCTGTCAATTAAAACAGTTGAACGACATAATGGATATTTGTTTTATCTTTTTGCACTAGGAAGGAATTTATATATATACTTATGGTACCATGATACGAGCTTGAGTCTCCTAATCACGGTTAGGGTGCGTATATTGCAAAGGTTGAGTAGCTAGATATAGCTAATGTTCCTTGGTAGGTCTAGGTACTTGGCCGCTGAAAAGCGTATTTTATATGTCACATTCTACCCAGGCTGAACTATGTTATAAGCTAGTGAGCATCCTATAGTGTGTGTATGTATATATATATATATGGACTATTGTAGATATTGCCGAGCTATCTAGGATGTATCTGCGTATCGGGTTTATATACGGATTGTAGTAGATTGGAACTTGCATGTGGGCCTAACCTACTCCTATTTTTCAGGTAATCGCCAATACTAGGCTTAGAGTTAGATCGTGTTGATGCAGATACAGACACTCACTCTTCCGGTTACATAGGATTTCCTTTTTTTGTTTATTTTGAATTTTAATTCTGTAAATTTATTTAAAGGTTTGGAATTAGGGGTCCACTAGGTGGATTCCCGAGTTGTACGGATTTAAATTATATTAATTTATTATTTAAGGTTTGAGGATTTTCATTTTAGTTTTCTTTTTGTTTATTATTATTTTAATCTTAATTCAGTTTTATTCCTACTTGTTTACATATTAATTGTCTGATATTCCTTGGATCTGTGCTCGGACTTGATCACCCGTGGCTCTAGAATTGAGGGGTATCACAGTACCCAACTAGGAAAAAATAGTAATTAACTATATAAAAAATAGGATTAATTTAATAAAAAAACAATGTTATAAAAAAAATGTTAAGGAGCCTTAATCACTTACATGTAAATAATTAAAAATAATCCCATCAAAAAATAGTTTATGCAAAAGTAATTACAAACATGGTAATTTTCACAAACATAAAATAATATAACATAATAATAAAATAATGTAAAATATAAAATTACTAATCTAAATTTTTTATTAAATAATATAAAATATTCTTTACTAAATAATGTAAAACTTCCAGTTACATTAGTGCGATGAAGTGTAATTTGGTCTCCATGTATTCATGAATTGTGAAATTCAACATATTTGTAATTATTTTTGCCTAAACTGTTTTTTGATAGAATTATTTTTGAATGTTTACATTTTAGTAATTGGAACTTCCTAAGATGTCTTTTTATTAAATTAATCCTAAAAAGTAATTAGATACTTTTGTTTTTTAAATTATATATATATATATATATATATATATATATATATATATATATATTGATCCCTTCACGTTCTTTTTATCCATTATCTTAACCTTGATAAAAATTACTAATACTGAATAATTTGAATTGGTTTGGACTTCTAATAAAAAAAAATTAAAATATTTATAAATAGAAAAACGTAATTCCGGAACCCTAGAAGTATATGGAATTCAGCCGAAGGTAATTGAGTTCTAAATGTTAGAAATTAAACTTTATTTTATTTTTAAAAATGTCTTTGAAGGTCATGGGTGTTTTTTTTTTTTTTTTATTTGGTATTTTATATTTATGTGAGTTTTTTATTGGTGTTAGTGGGGGGTATGAGACTTATAACTAGTAAATGGTCATATTAGTGAGTTAGTGGGAGTTTTGCCTACTAAATGGTTATGTTAGTGGGTTAGTGGGAGTTTTGCCTACTAAATGATATGTTAGTGGGGTATTAATTTTCATTTACATTTATGTTTTGAAGTCTATATAAACCCATGCATTGTACTCATTTTCATCAAGTGAAATAAAAAGTGTTTTCCTCCATTTGTATTCTCTTCCAAATAGTATAGTGTTGTGTGTGTAACTAGGCCACTATTTCCAACAAAGTGGTATCAGAGCTAGTTTGTGAGAGAGAGAAGAAGTGGCAAACAATTCGGTTCCATTTCAAATGCCTCGATTCACCAAAGATAACTATGAAAATTGGTGTATCCATATGAAGGCAATTTTGGGAGCACAAGATGTGTGGGAAGTTGTTTCCAAAGGTTATGATGAGCCAGAAGATGAGACAACTTTGTCTCAAGCCGAAAAAGATGTTTTACAAGCCATGAGAAAGAAGGACCAAAAGGCGGTGATGACCATCCATCAATGTTTGGATGATGGAATGCTACAAAGAGTTGCTAGTGCAGAAAATGCAAAGCAATAATGGGAGATTCTTCAAAATTCCTTCCAAGGAGTTGATAAAGTGAAGAAGGTTCGCCTCCAAATGTTACGGGGTGAATTTGAAGCATTGCATATGAAGGAATCTGAATCAATTTCAGATTATTTTTCGAGGGTCCTGGCTATTGTAAATCAATTAAGGAGATATGGCGAAACCACCATGATTGATACAAGGGTCGTTGAAAAGATCCTTCGGTCGTTGGATTCTAAATTCAACTACATTGTTGTAGCCATTGAAGAGTCAAAGGATTTGGATTCCATGACTATTGATCAACTCAAGGGTTCGTTGCAAGCTTATGAAGAAAAGGTGGTGAAGAAACAAGAAGCTTTGGAGCAAGTGCTACAAACAAAGTTTTCGTTGAACGAAAGAGACGAAAAACATGGAGGAAATCAAAGGGGCCGAAGATGTGGAAATGCACGTGGCCGAGGAAGAGGAAGAGGCCGTGGAAAAGGAGAAAGAAGCGGTCAACACACAACCAATAATGAAGAAAAAGTCCATGACTCACAACAAATAAGAGGTCATGGTAGAGGAAATTACTCAAGGTCATATGGAAGGAGGTATGATAAGTCTCAAATTCAATATTACAATTGTCAAAAGTATGGTCATTATGCTTCGGAATCTAGAAATGTTGCTAACAATGTAGAAAAAAAGGCTAATTATGTTGATGAAGAAGTGGAGCCTACTTTGTTGTTGGCATACAAATGTGAAAGGAGTGATCAAGAAGATGTGTGGTATCTTGACACCGCTGCTAGCAACCATATGTGTGATAGCAAAGAGAAGTTTGTTGATATTGATGAATCAATAAATGGTAAGGTGACATTTGGAGACTTATCACAAATTCTGGTAAGAGGGAAAGGTAAAATATTGATTCGTTTGAGGAATGGGCATCATCAATTTATCTCTAATGTTTATTATGTGCCTAATATGAAGAACAATATTTTGAGTTTGGGACAACTCTTAGAAAAAGGCTACAATATTTCTATGAATGATTGTAGTCTTTCGATAAGAGACCCATTGGGTAATTTGATTGCTAAGGTTCCAATGACAAATAACCGGATGTTTTTGCTAAATATTCAAGCCGGCAAGGCTAAATGTTTGAAGGCTTGTTTTAATGATTTAACTTGACTTTGGCACTTGAGACTTGGACACTTGAATTTTGGAGGATTAGAGTTGTTGGCCAAAAAGAAGATGGTGAAGGGATTGCCTTTCATTAGCAATCCAAATCAATTGTGTGAAGGATGTCTTGTTGGAAAGCAATCAAGGAAAAGTTTTCCTAAAAAAGCTACCACAAGAGCTACGGCGCCACTACAACTTATCCATTCGGATGTTTATGGTCCAATTTCTCCATCATCATTTGGTAAGAATAATTATTTTTTATTATTCATTAATGATTTTAGCCGAAAAACATAGGTGTATTTTCTTAAACAAAAATCGGAGGTGTATGGAATATTTAAGAAATTTAAAGCACTTGTTGAAAAACAAAGTGGCTATGATGTAAAGGCTCTTCGATCCGATAGAGGTGGTGAATTCACATCAAATAATTTCAAAAAATTGTGTGAAGAAAATGGAATTCACCATCCTTTAACGGTTCCGAGATCGCCCCAACAAAATGGAGTTGCAGAAAGGAAGAACAAAACCATTCTCAATATGGCTCGAAGCATGTTGAAAAACAAGGAAATGCCTAAAGAATTTTGGGCTGAAGCGGTTGATTATGCGGTGTACTTGTCTAACCGGTGTCCTACTAGAAGTGTGCAAAACAAAACACCACAAGAAACATGGAGCGGAAGAAAGCCAAGTGTCTCTCATTTGCGGGTTTTTGGGAGCATTGCCCATGTGCACATGCCGAATGAAAGGAGGACCAAGTTAGACAACAAAAGTGAAAAAATGGTGTTCATTGGCTATGATGCAAGCTCCAAAGGCTATAAGTTGTACAATCCAAGTAATGGGAAGATTGTCATTAGTAGAGATGTTGAATCCGAAGAGGGAGCCACATGGGATTGGAACACTCCAAATGAAGATTATAATATTTTTCCAATTTCTGATGAGGAGCAAGAAAATGAAGGCATGGAGTAGCCCATTTCTCCATGAACATCACCTCCACCACCATCAATTCAAGATCAATCAACTCCATCATCATCAAGTTCAAGTGACACACCACCACTTCATATGAGGAGTCTTCGTGACATATATGACGAAACAGATGAGGTAACGGAAAGGTTAGGTGATCTAACATTTTTTTGTCTCTTTGCGAATTGTGAACCCGTAGGATTTGAAGAGGCGGCACAAGACAAAAAATGGAGAAATGCTATGGATGAAAAAATTAAATCCATAGAGAAGAATGACACATGAGGGCTTGCTACACATCCAAAAGAGCAAAAGGCAATTGGTGTCAAGTGGGTGTATAAAGCAAAGAAGAATGCAAATGGTGAAGTTAAAAAATATAAAACAAGATTGGTCGCCAAGGGGTACAACCAAAAGCTCGGAATTAACTCTGATGAGGTATTTGCACCCGTAGCTCGTTTGGAAACAATTAGATTGTTAATTTCTTTGGCAGCCCAAAACAATTGGAGAATCCACCAAACGGATGTGAAATCGGCTTTCTTGAATGGGTTTCTTAAAGAAAAGGTGTATGTTCAACAACGCATGGGCTATGTTGTAAAGGGGCAAGAAAACAAAGTCTTGAAATTGAAGAAGGCTTTATATGGCTTGAAGCAAGCACCAAGGGCGTGGAATAAGCGGATTGACAAATATTTTCAAGACAATAATTTTTTGAAATGCCCATATGAACATGCTCTTTACTCCAAAGTAAGGGAGAATGGAGATGTATTTTTTGTTTACTTGTATGTGGATGATTTAATCTTCACAGGTAGCAATCCAAAAATGTTTGAAGATTTCAAGAAGGTTATGACTCGAAAGTTCGAGATGACAGATATTGGCATCATGGCTTATTATCTTGGCATTGAGGTCAAGCAAATGAAGGATGGAATTTTCATTCACCAAGAAGGCTATGCTAAGGAAATTCTCAAGAAATTCAAGATGGAAGATTGTAAATTGGTGAACACGCCCATGGAAGTTGGAATTAAATTGTCAAGAGATGAAGATGGAGAAACGGTGGATCCAACATTTTTCAAAAGTCTTGTTGGAAGCTTGAGATACTTAACATGCACAAGGCCGGACATATTATTTGCGGTTGGGCTTGTTAGTCGGTTTATGGAAAGACCCACCATAACTCATTTCAAGGCGGCTAAAAGTATTCTTCGTTACATCAAAAGTACCCTTGATTTTGGGTTATTCTATTCATTTACTAATGATTTCAAGCTTGTGGGTTATTCTGATAGTGATTGGGCTGGAGATTTGGATGATAGAAAAAGTACTTCTGGCTATTGTTTTTTCATGGGAAATGTTGCTTTTACATGGTGCTCAAAGAAGCAACCCATTGTCACCCTCTCAACTTGTGAAGCAGAATATGTTACAGCCACTTCATGTGTTTGTCAAGCAATTTGGTTGAAGAATTTGTTGAAGGAATTACACATGTTACAAGAAGAGTCAATGGAGATTTTTGTGGACAACAAATCAATAATTGCTTTGGCCAAGAATCTGGTGTTTCATGAACGAAGCAAGCATATTGATACAAGATTTCATTTTATTAGAGAATGCATAACCAAGAAGGAGGTGGAGCTCAAGTTCATTAAGTCACAAGATCAAGTTGCGGATATTTTCACCAAGCCCCTCAAGTTTGCAGATTTTCACAAGTTAAGGAGTTTGTTTGGAGTTAAAAAAAAAAATCAAATTTAAGGGGGGGTGTTAGAAATTAAACTTTATTTTATTTTTTAAAATGTCTTTGAGGGTAATGAGTGTTTTTTTTTTTATTTGGTATTTTATATTTATGTGAGTTTTTTGTTGGAGTCAGTGGGGGGTATGAGAGTTACAACTAGTAAATGGCCATGTTAGTGGGAGTTTTGCCTACTAAATGGTCATGTTAGTGGGTTAATGGGAGTTTTGCCTACTAAATGATATGTTAGTGGGGTGTTAATTTTCATTTACATTTATGTTTTGAAGCCTATAAACCCATACATTGTACTCATTTTCATCAAGTTAAATAAAAAGTGTTTTTCTCCATTTTTATTCTCTTCCAAATAATATAGTGTTGTGTGTGTAACTAGGCCACTATTTCCAACATTAAAAGGGGCCTTAATTCGATCAAAATAAACTAGCCAAAACTATTTCAAAAATTTGTTAACCCGCCCTTTTGGCCTTCAGGGAATCAAACTGGCCATTTAGACTTCAAAAAATCAGTCCAGCATGAGTGACCTATTTCTTATGTTATCTTGCATGTGATTTTACAAAAAAGACCATTCATCGTAGCTGTACAATCTCCACAGGATGGATATCATTGATCAAAGGTTGAAGAATGCTGCCAAAGAGGGAAGTATCGATGCGATATGCTTTGTTTCGGGAGAATCCCTACATATTGGAAAACATTGATCAGATCTCATTTGTTGATATATACTCCTCTACATAGAGCGGCATCTGCTGGGTGTACCCATTTTGCAGCTGAAATGATTAGATTAAAGCCATCATTTGGTAGGAATATTTAAGTTAAACCCCGATGGATTAAGCCCTTTGCATTTAACACTACAAAATGGGCGTACCGAGACAGTGATAAGACTCATAAATATTGACATCGAGCTCATCCGTGTCCAAAGGAAAGAGAGCATCACTCCTTTGCATTATGTATAGCTGGAAGAAATGAATTCGAACTATCGGCTGAATTTCTATGTGCTTGCCTAACATCCATCAAGGATTTGACAGTTCGAGGAAAGACTGCAGTGCATATTGCCACAGAAATGGAAGCTTCGAAGCTTTCAAGGTGCTTTTGTGATGGCTTCAAAAATTTGACAATGAAGAGTTGGAGAGCTGGAAGATGCTAAACTGGAAGGACGAGGATGGCAACACAGTGTTGCATACTGCAGCTTGCACTAACCAATGTCAGGTGCTCTATTTAAATTGCTCCATTTTCCATATATGCATGTAGTGGTATAGACTTGTAGCATATATATAGTCTTGATATGTTGGTGGTTCTAAGGATGCAATTAAACCATTACTTTTGCTTTATTTTAATGCCATTTCTATGTAATTAATTAATGTGTTTCTCCATTGTTGATCAGGTCGTGAAGTTATTACTCTCTCCGTCCCATATTAGTAGTCCATTATTTCATTTTTACATGTCCCAAATTACTTGTCCTCTTTGAAAAGTCAAAGCATCTTTCCTTTATATTTCCATCATTGTTCTTTATCTTTTTAAAAAATTTCAAATTTTGTAACTATATATATTTAATAAAAAGGACAATTTGGTAATTTTAAAAGGAGATAATGCATTAATTGCATGTCCCCTTAAAAACTCCAATTTCTAAATATGGATCTCTATTGTGGGATGGAGGGAGTAATAAACAATAAAGTGGACAAAATAGTAAGGAATTTTGAGAGTAAAACTGCATTTGATTTATCAGAAAGAAATGAAAAGTTCAGAAAAGTTTGTTCTAGGAGGAACTTCTAAATCAACTAGTCTTGCACATTTTATGAGTGCTGTAAAGCTCCATAAAAATTTGTTGTTTCTTGTTCCTAATATGCATAAAGGTTTGTCAAGCGACATGCAAAATATGATGCTGGTTATAACTGTGCTTATTCCAACCGCCTCCTGGTGGATTCCGACAAGAAGACAACAATCTTGTAAGGGGCATTCAATATGAAGAACGAGAACACACACGAATTTTATATAAAACTCTCAAATTCTGATATATTTTCTTTTTCACTTTTTACTTACAAAAGAATTCAAGAACATGTATTTATAGGTACCAATACGTGACTCTAGAAAAACATAAAATACAAGACAATAAATAAGACACTAACTTTAACATAAGTGTTTTATCTCCCAATGAGTAAGTTCATGTATTCCACACTTGAGTTGGTTCATGAATTTTGTTTAATTTTCCAACAATGCCTCTTGTAAACCAAATTTTCTTTTCATTCCCAACTTTATAAGATTCTTCTTGAATAAAATTCCACCAAGAGGCTTTGTGAATAAATCTGCCAATTGTTCATCCATCTTACAATATTCATCTTGAATAATTCCTTTATTAACAAACTCCCTTAAGAAATGATAACGGATACGAATATGCTTCGTCCTTCCATGTAGAATTGGGGTCTTCTGTAATAAAGATAGTTGAACTATTGTCACAAAATAATGTTGTTGGCCCTTCTTGCTTGTGCTTGAGATTTTCCAAAATACCTTGCAACCAAATGATTTGACAAGTGGCAAGTGAGGCTACAATATACTCCGCTTACGTTGTAGAAAGAGCCATAATAGCTTGCTTCTTCGAACTCCATGAAATTGCACCGCTTCCAAGATTAAAGACATAACCGGATGTGCTCTTACTATCATCAATACTTCCCGCCAAGTCACTATCTGTGTAGCCAACAAGTTTAACTGGAACATTTTTTTGATAAAAAATACCATAATCAATGGTTCCTTTCACGAACCTCAAAATTCTTTTTGCAGCGGCCTCCCAATGACTTGAATGTGGTGTCTCCATGAATCGGCTAACCAAACTTACCGCAAACATTATATCCGACTTTATAGTTGTTAAGTACATCAAATTTTCACCCAAACTTCGAAATATGGTACAATCAACAAGCTTTCCTTCACCATTTTTTATTAATTTTATTCCAGAGATACATGGTGTTTAAACGGGATTGGCTTTGAATTTTTTCAGAATTTTTCTAGCATAACTTTCTTGAGAAATAAAAATTCCGTCTTTAGATTGATGAAATTCAATGCCCAAAAAATGATGTAACTCACCCAAGTCTGTCATTTCAAATTCTTTCATCATTGAGACTTTAAAATCATTCAACAATTTTAGATTATTGCCGGTAAAAATCAAGTCATCAACATAAAGACTCACAATCATGAAGCCTCCATCCAAATCATTTTTGATGTAGAGCGTGTGTTCATAAGGACATTTTTGAAAACCATTTCTTTTAAAATATGAATTTATGCAGCTTTACCAAGCTCGTAGGGATTGCTTCAAGTTATATAAAGCTTTGTTAAGCTTATACACCTTGTGTTCTTCCCCGTTTTTCACAAACCCAAGGGTTGTTTAACATAAATTTCTTCTTCAAGAATCCCATTAAAAAAAGTGGATTTAACATCCATTTGGAACAACTTCTAATCATTTTGGGCAGCAAGAGAAATTATCTAACGAATGGTATTAAGTCGAGAAACCGAAGCAAATACCTCATTATAATCCTCCCATTCTTTTTGTTTGTAACCTTTTGCAACAAGCTATGCTTTGTGTACTTGTTGATGGAGCCATTAGGATTCACCTTTATCTTGAAAACCCATTTCGATCACACTAATGGAATTTTTGTTTAGTGGTAGATTAACTAACTCCTATGTGCCATTCTTTTCAATGGCATTAATTTCTTCATTCATTGATTTCTTTCACTTTTCCTCTTTGCATGTTTCTTCATAAGAGATTGGATCTTCCCTAGCAAAAAAAGTAAAAAAGATAGGGTTGTCTTGATTCACTTCATTGGTAGATTCATAAATTTTTGGCAATCTTCTTGTCTTCCTCGCATAAGAAGGTGGAATGCCTTGAGAGGATCCTTAACTTGATGAGGGGTTTGTTGAAGACAAATCACCATCAATTTCTACACCTTGAAAATCATCAAAAATTGTTGCATTTGAAGAACGACCTGTTTTTGAATCAAGAAAATAAGTTTTTCCATCAAATTTTACATCTATACTAATAACAATATTCTTTGTTTCCGAATTGTATAGCTTATACGCTTTGGACCTTTCATTATACCTAATAAAAATGCATTTTTCGGCCTTATTATCAAGCTTATTTCTCATCACATCCAGAATATGTGCATAAGCAACACTTCCAAAAATCTTCAAGTGTTGAACACTAGGCTTTCTTCCATACTATATTTCATGAGGTGTACGATTCTTCAAAATTTTTGTGGGAGATCTGCCGATCAAATAAACAGCACAAAAAACTGCTTCCACCTAAAATTCTGATGACAATTTTTTCCTTTTTAAGCATACATCTTGCCATTTTCATGACTGTTCTATTTTTCCTTTCACTCACACCATTTTGTTGTGGTGTGCGTCTAATTGTTAACTTATGTTGTATGCCAATATCTCTACACAACCTCTCAAATTCATTGGAAAGATATTCACGCCTTCGATCACTTCTTAATGTTTTAATTGGAAAACCAGAAAAATTTTCAAGTTAGGCCTTGAAATCTTTGAAAGCTTGAAATGATTCAGATTTTTCTTTGCGAATATATACTCAATTTTTTCTAGTGAATTCATTAATAAATAGGAGAAAATATCTAGTACCTCAAAGAGATGGAATTGACAATGGACCACACAAATTCGTATGAACAAGCTCCAATGGATGCTTGGCATACCACAAGGATTGTGAAGGAAATGGATCTCTATGTTGTTTTCCAAGTATGCATTCTTCACAAATTCCATCTATACTTTCAATTTGAGGCAGCCCTTCCACTATTTTCTTTAAAGCCAACAATTTCAAACTTCCAAAATTTAAGTGTCCAAACCTGTCATGCCACAACTTGGAGTCTCCTTTGTCAACACTAATGAAACAAGAAATATTAGCAATTTGGAGCTTAAGAGGAAAAAAGATTGTTCGCCGCCATCCCAATTTTAGCAACAAGCTGATTGTTCTTTGTCATGATGTATGCATTATCATAAAAATGAATATCATATCCTTTTCGCAAAAGATGACCGGTGCTAAGTAAATAACCTTTCAAACCAGGCACATAACAAACTTCTGACATTTTCTCAATTTTGCCAGAATTTGTTTGAATGAAACTTCTCTAATGCCTTGAATTTTGTAAGCTCTAGAATCTCCAGTTGTTACTTGGCCATGATCCACTTCAACCAAATTTGAAAACAGATTTTTGTTGCCGATCATGGGCTTACTAGCACCAATATCCAAGTACCATAAATCATCAATATTATCACCATAACATGCAATCAACAAAGTTTTATGAGAATCATTTTCATGGAAATCAAATTTGTTTTCATGCATAAAATCGGTTTCATTTTTTTCAACTTGTTTGTACCAACATTAATTCACTAATTTTGTGACCAGGTTTATGGCAATGAAAACATTCAACATAACTTCTTCTTCATTGGTGAAAACCACGGCCTCTTCCTCTTTATGAAAAATTTATGTGTTGATTTTTCTCATCTTCCTTAGAAGAATTATCATTTTTTAAAAAAACTCTTCCTCGTCCACGGAAATTAGAACCTCTTCCTCAAAAATCTCCACTATTTCCACGGCCTCGACCATGGCTGTAACCACGGCCTCCCGTAATTGAAACTTGAGATTTAAGAGCTTGGTCAAGAGGAGGAGGATTTCTTTGATCAATCCGAATTTCATGAGCCTTCAAAGTTCCCAATAAATCATCTAGAGAAAGAGAAGAGAAATCTCTAGATTCTTCAATGAAAACTACAACATAATCAAATTTTTTAGGCAAGTTGCGAAGAATTTTTTCAACCACGTACTCTTTCATCTTCCAAAATTTCTCCATTGAAATTCATTTGATTTACTATAGATGTAACATTTGTAAAATAGTCGAAAATAAATGAAATCCCCTTCATTTATAACTTTTCAAATTCCGATATTAAGGTTTAAAGACGTACCTTTTTCACTTTTTCCTCACCTTTGTATGCCGCTTGTATAATCTCTCAAACTTGCTTGGATTATTTAGTGGTTTTTCTAATTCTTTCGTAGATCGGCATTCAATTGTTTGGTAGATTTGGAAAAGTGCCTTGTTATCCTTTTCTCGCTTCTCATTTAAAGCATTCTTTTGTGCTTGAGTTAAATCATCTTCATTTTTGGGTTCATCAAAACCCTCTTCAACAACATTCCATAACTGTATTGATTTGATCAACACATTTACATTGCTGCTTTAATAATCATAATTTTCTCCATTGAAGCGAGGAATAAGAGAAGCCCACTTGCTTGTATTTGCCATGAGATAATTCTGAAAATTTGCTGCTACCTTCTTGTTTAAAATTGGCTCTGATACCAATTTGTAAAAGGCACTCAATATGAAGAAGGAGAACACACACAACTTTTATATAAAATTCTCAAATTCTAATATATTTTCTTTCTCACTTCTTAATTACAAAAGAATTCAAGAACTTGTATTTATAGGCACCAATATATGACCCTAGAAAAACACAAAATACAAGACAATAAATAAGACACTAATTTTAACACAAGTGTTTCATCTCCCAATGAGTTAGTTCATGTATTCCACACATGAGTTTGTTCATGTATTCCACACTTAAGTTGTTTCATGAATTTGGTTTAATTTTCCAACAAATCTCAATTGTACTGCCATTAATAGTACTTTCATAGATTATATCCCTATCAACAATACTACCATCAGCAGTATTGCCATTAACGGTGCTGAGATGCTAGTTTTGCCTGCAGATAAATTTGAAAACATAAATTTTTTCAACGCAGCTGCATTTATTGCTGCACTTAGAGTGATTTATCTCGCCCTCCCACTGACATATCATAGTTTTCTATTGGGAAATTCTCAAATTTTCCTGGCCATTTAGTTATATGACTTCAATGTCTGCAATTGCAACATCTCCAAATTCTTTTTGGATCTCATTTGGCGCAT